ACGCCTCCTCCGCGGGCCGGGGGAAAGGCGGGCGTAAACTGCGGGCCGGCGGAGACAGGACAGAAAATGCCAAACGGCCAGTACCAGCCTTTTGTCGTCTTTATGTATCTCTATATTTTCTAAATTTCCTACTGAATATTTATTAAATATTCCATCGGAATTTATTTTCTTCCTCTAGGTTGCTGGCTTCTGAGACCATCTTACTCGTCTACTATGTCGTTATTGTCTGTCCCCTTAACCAGGTGACAGCCCTCGAGAGGCACCCTGTCTGCCCCCTGCCCGCTGTGCTCACACCCCCAAACAGTACGTGGCACACAGTAGGGGCTTCATGAGCCTGCATGGGCAGCTGGTTGGTGACTCCCGCACCAGATCATGCCATGTCACCTTTCCTCCCCATTTCGAACCTGCTAGCGTGTCTGTCTGTCACAATCCGAGGCGGCCTCATGCTCGTTTTCACTGCCCGGTGATGTTCTTGCAAAGAGCAGAAACTCACGTTGTTTGAATGACGGAACAGTAATAAAAAATACAGTATACCGCACCGGATGCCACGCATGCCCCCGAGACGATGACATGAGATCCGCCACTCAGGAATCTAGCATCTCTTGGAAGGAATTGGGGTGCTCTGCGCGGCCCCTGCAGAAAGCCCAGAATAAAGGATGTGGCCAGCACCGCAGCCCGCACGGGGGCTTCTGGCCCTGGTCCCAGGTCTGCGCGAGGCCACAGCAACCCAGGATTCCGCCCTGCACGCAGAAGGAGCTGGAACGCTTCTCGCCGATTGCTTGGTTCTGCCAGGAAGACAGTGGAAAACTCTAGCATTTAAGCATGCCATTCCTTCCGCCTGAGGTTTCCAGCTGGCTTACTCCTGCGGTGCAGGCGGGTTTCTTAGACGAGCCTCCACTGGGTGCCCATGCATCTGTTTGGGGTCCTTGCGTTCCTCGCTCCATCTTGTGGCCCCACCGCCAGCTTCAAGACTGTCTTCAGAACACGGGTCAGGCAGATAGACACCCTAACGCCTCTTGGGTCCTCGGGTGTGGTATCGACCACCAACCTGCTTCAATAGCAGCCACCCCATCATCTCACTGTGACAGAAACAGACACGGGACCTAGAAACCCTGGAGCTTCGCAGGTGGCAGGGCCAGTAGTCCGTGCACAGGAAGTTCCTGCTGGTGGGTGTGTGAGAGCCCAAAATGTCGGAATTCGGCCCTGCCCGTCCTGCGCTGTCTCGCCCCAGTCCCGTTGTCGCCAGGACCTGGGTTCCTTCCCTCCCAGCCTGCGGAGGGCCTGGACTGGGGAACGCGGGCGTGACCCAGGCCGTCACAGAGCAGACACATCCGGAAGCAGCGGGGCATAGGAGGCGATGCCGTCTGAGGCCACAACGCTGGCCAGTGCCCGGCTGGCCGGCTCGCCTGGGCTCCTGAGTCAGCCTGTGAACATCTAGGCCGTGCACCGGGGCCCGGCACTTCCCTCCCACCTCTGGACCCCAGGCTGCGAGCTGCATTTCCCTGACACAGTGCACACCTATCTACTGGGCATGTCTGTCAAGCTCTGCAAACCTAGCAGGTGGCAGAAGGGACCGCGGCCGCTCCTAAGGCCCGGGGATGCTGCGGGCGACTGATCTTGACCTGAAATCATTGGGCTGACATCATAAATAAACCAAATGAGACAAAGCCAGGAGGATGGAGAATGGCCTTCGGTTTCTCGGAGAGTATCAGGAAAGAAAGGCGCCTCGTCTTACTCTCGGTGACAAGGAGAAAGCCACCTTGAAAGGGGCCTGCCATCCCCACCACATCTCGTCACAGCGGGGAGCAAGTTTAAGTCACCCACCGGGACAGGCTGGTCTCCTCGTCCGGCTGTGCAAGGGCTGCCTTCAAGCCCCACTCTGTGCGTTTCCTGCTCTGATTTGTTTTGGGGGTTTTATGGCACACCCACGCTCAGCGTCTCGGGGGCCCGGCCAGGAACCGCGAGTAGGAAGGACCCACTTCCTGTCGATGGGGTCTCTAGGCTCCAGACCCGAAAACAGGGAGATGAAGTCCAGAAACAGCACAGTTGAAAGACAGGCTAAAAAAATTTCAAATGATAAAGAAAACTTAACTGTTTCTCCAAAATCTGCAACGATAAAAAAAAAAAAAATACCATTCTTGCAGACTTTGAGAGTGTATCTTCCGTTATGTTAAGTGGAGACTGTCTTGAATCATTTGATCACATCTATGTGTTTTTTTCCCCCTCGTAACGTGTGCAAAGCATGGAGACTAGAAATCTGAAAAGAAATCACAGATTCCAGAAGGAAGCACAGGCTCCAGGGGCCGAGGATGCAGACGGCAACCGGACACTCCAGCAGAGGCGGTGGGGGCAGGTGCACGGGCGCGCCCGGAGCAGCCCCTCTGGGAGAGACGGCGGCCATCCCGAGGTCAGTCTCCTCTTCTGCCCCGTCGGAGACTCGAAGATCAGGCTCCCGCGCAGGGCTGGGGGCCGGCCACAGTCCACACAGGGCTGTTAGGGACCCTCTCTGGGAAGGCAGCTTCGGCTCTTTGGGCTGCAGTTTTGACTCAGCCCTGACAAACTGTTTCCAAACAGCCAGCCAGGTGTTTGCAAACACCGGACGTCTTTGGCAAGGCTTGGGCTAGCCCTGAGGCGGGGGATGGGGAGGGTGGAGGAGCCGGCTTGCTGGATGTCACCTGGATGAGTCTGAGGAAAGCTTAAGTCACAGCAGAAGGGGCGGCATTTGAACGCATTCAGGTCTCTGGTTTCTCCACTCCGCGTCTTATTCTCCTAGGGACGGGTGGATTGGCAGGGTCCCCAGAGGGGGAGAAAAGGGGTGATAAACTATTCAGCTGGAAGGAAGTAAACATTCTTGCTGGCAAACCTGGAACAGATAATAAGGACACTTTTGAAAGACTAAGGAAAACTTTGGGATCATCAGTTCCCCTGAAACTCTTTTCCAAACAGACCAACTCACAAACCACCGCCCAGGAAGGGGGCGATGGGCAAACAGTCGGTGGAGCCAGCCAGCCCGCATCAGGAGACGTGCAGGCACGGGGCTACCCTGGCCAGGCCCGCCACGTCTCCAGCCGCTGCCCACGCACACACCGCAGCCTCCCCTTTGCTTAACTCGTGCTCCCTATCCCCTTCTGTGAAGTGGCATTTTCATTTAACAGAAGGAAACATGATCTAGGTTAGACGCAGAACTGAAATCCCAAACTGCTGCCTTCCTAATGTTTAAAAAATACCAGTCGCCATACCCTCTGTGTTCCCTTAGGAAATGTTCATTTTTTTGATGGGGCATAAAGAACATAAAATGAACAGCGATATCAATGGAAATGGTGCCTCGCTGCCATTGTCATCCTCTCTTCCCCTCCCCTCTAGTGCAGGGACAGCCACCAGGCACCTGAGGGGCACAGGTCCCACCCAACCGCTCCCCTGCAGCTCTGGGAAAACCACGAGGTGGGCTGGTGGGACAAAAGTGATCAATACCATGGGACCTGCAAAGTGTCCAATGTCTCCAAGGGGTGAGGTACATTGCTGACCTCACCTTATTGGCCCTGTATGTGTGTGTGTGTGGGGGCGGTTCCCCCAAGGGCAGGGTCCTTCTACTGTCTGCATACAGAGCACCCGGCCGGTGTTCACTGGGCACTTGTTGGACGAATGCACAAGCAAATGAGCCATCCGCGCTCTGGTGAGGGTGTTGCTGGCCGGTTTCCGGTTCTCTGGTCCCAAGAACCCGAGGATCTGGAGACCTTGGTGAGCGGAGTCCACTTCCGCCTGGACCTCCGGCCCTCTTAGGGTTGCCTTAGCCCCACTTGGCACTTTCCCTAATATATCCAAGGTCGAGCACTTCCGACGGAAATTGCGGGACACATGTGACCTGTACCCTGAAGACTGGACCATAGAGTAGAAATCAAAAAAGGACCCAACTGTGCTGCACTTCGGGGGTTTTCGGAGCCGCCCGAGACCCAAGGCTCTTGGATGGGTGTGACAAGAGGGGTACACGCGAAGGCGTCCTTGCGGGCGCGTGCAGGCGGAAGGGCTGCACCCGGGGACCCAAGCGTTAAGCCGCCTGCAGCGTCCACGGCACCCGGTAGGGGGCGCGCGCCGGTGGGAACGCG